CAGTTCTAAGGACAGAATTACACTCCATCCCAGAACAAACTGCACTGTCCACTGAGAATCTGAGAATCGGGAACTGGCCATGGCAACTGCCACCCAGCCCTGCAGGACTGGCACATAGACTGCAGGAGGGGATGGTGCAAACCTTTGGTGACTGAATAGACTCACAGCCGAGAGCAGCCAGATGCACTAGACACAAGACAGTACATTGGTTTTTTATTTTCAGGGAGACATTGAATGAGTGTCACTGAACACTTCTATACAAGGGCACTGGGGCTCCTCTGACACAAGGCCAAGGCTGTAAGTCCTTGTGGGAGTAGTTCTGTCCTTTTCTGACCCAAGAAGCCAGGATGACAGGCACAAACTACCATGTCCAGCAATGGTTGAAAATAGTCTTTTTTTTTTTTTTTGGAGGTCCGATTGTGGGGCCTGAACTCTGGGCCTGGGCGCTGTCCCTAAGCTCTTCAGCTCAAGGCTAGCGCTCTACCACTTGAACCACAGTGCCACTTCCGGCTTTTTTCTTTTTGCTTATGTGGTGCTGAGGAATCGAACCCAGGGTCTCAGGCATGCAAGGCAAGCGCTCTACCACTGAGCCACCTTCCCAGCCCCTGAAAATAGTCTTGTAAGGTCCATTCCTGGATGGCGAACAGATCTGGCCCAGTACCTGCGTTACCTAGGCAACTGGGACACCTGGAAGAGGTCACATCCGCATCTTAATCTGATGTGGCCACACCTTTCTCCCACCTGATCCCACTTCCCTTTACCTGGACACACCTTTCCCCCCCCCCTCCCTACCCTATATAAGGCCTAACCCTGGGGCCAGACGCTCTCTTCTGCCAGCTGCGTGAAGTGCCAACCTTGCCTGGTCCCAGCAGGTCTACTGAATAAACCTACCCCTTACCTGAATACCACATGTGTGGTGCTGTTCTTACTCGGCTACCTCTTTTTAAAAACCTAACAAGTCTTAGGCTGGAAATATGGCTTAGTGGTAGAGAGCCTGCCTAGCATGCATGAAGCCCTGGGTTTAATTCCTCAGTGCTACACCCAAAAGCCCTGGGTTTAATTCCTCAGTGCCACATCAACAGAAAACGCTGGAAGTGGCACTGTGGCTCAAGTGGTAAACTGCTAGCCTTGAGCAAAAGGAGCTCAGGGTCAGTGCTCAGGCCCTGAGGTCAAGCCCCAATATTGGCAGAAAAAAAGAAGAAGAAGAAAAATGGTCTTGTGAGCTGGGTGCTGGTAGCTTACATCTGGTAATCCTAGATCAGAGAAGGCTGAGATGGGAGAAATGTGGTTCAAAGCCAGCTGTGCCTGACAGTAAAGTCCGTGAGATTCATCTCCAATTAACCATCAAAAAGCATGAAGTAGGGGCTGGGAAGGTGGCTCAGTGGTAGAGCTCTTGCCTTGCATGCTCGAGGCCCTGGATTCGATTCCTTAGCACCACATAAGCAAAAAGCAAAAAGCCGGAAGTGATGTTGTGGCTCAAGTGGTAGAGCGCTAGCCTTAAGCTGAAGAGCTGAGGGACAGTGCCCAGGCCCAGAGTTCAGGCCCCAGGACAGGACAAAAAAAAAAAAAAAAAAGCATGAAGTAGCCCGCACCAGTGGCTCATGCCTGTAATCCTAGCTACTCAGGAGGCTGAGATCTGAGGATCGAGATTCAAAGTCAGCCCAGTCAGGAGAGTCCGTGAAACTCTTATCTCCAATAAACCACCAGAAAACCGGAAGTGGCGCTGTAGCTCAAGTGGTAGAGCCTTTGCCTTGAGCTGAAGAGCCGAGGGACAACGCCCAGGCCCAGAGTTCAAGCCCCACAACAGACAAAAAAAAAAAAGCATGGAGTAGAGGTGTGGTTCAAATGCTAGAGTACTAGCCTTGAGCAAAAAAGCTAAGAGACAGGGCTGGGAAGGTGGCTCAGTGGTAGAATGCTTGCTTTACATGAATGAGTCCTTGGGCTTGATTCCTCAATACCACATAGCAGAAAAAGGTGGAAGTGGCTTTATGGCTCAAATGGTAGAGTGCTAGACTTGAGCTGAAGAGCTGAGGGACAGTGCCCAAGCCCAGAGTTCAGGCCCCATGACTGACAAAAAAAGCTTCGCTGCCAAGCTGGGAACCAGGGAGATGGCTGACACCGACCCCAAGAACGTGCAGGACCTCACCTCAGTGGTGCAGACGCTCTTGCAGCAGATGCAGGATAAATTCCAGACCATGTTGGACCAGATCATCGGGAGAATCGATGACATGAGCAGTCGCATCGACGATCTGGAGAAGAACATCACCAACCTCATGACCCAGGCTGGGGTGGAAGAACTGGAAGGTGAAAACAAGATTCCAGCCACACAGAAGAGTTGAAGGTTGCTGATGTTTTCCACTGAAATCTGGAGCATCGTCTTCTACGCCAGGAAAAGCAAGTGGCTTTCACACCTACCTGCCCTGCCTGGCTGGGTTTATCTTCCAGAGCACATTGCTACAATGTCCTGTAAAGTTATAGAGTCCGCCCCCCCCCAAGTTTCCCAAACATGGTGTCTTCACATCTAGACACTTGGTCAGTTGTCACCTAATTATTAAACACTGAAACTTTGGTAGTTCCTGCATAAAGTTTCCCAAGTTTTTAGTGCATTTTGTGATGTCATTTTCTCCTGCCATTCTTTTGTAGTAATTGCTGTTTGATACAAGTTACTGTGTAATTTTTATTAGAGAAATAGTAACTCCTTTGATTGTTTGGGAAAAAAAAAAAAAGCAGGCCTGGGAAGGTGCTCAGTGGTAGAGTGCTTGCTTTGCATGCATGAAGCCCTGGGTTTGATTCCTCAGCAACACATAAGCAGAAAAAGACGGAAGTGGTGTTGTGACTCAATTGGTAGAGTGCTAGCCTTGAGCTGAAGAGCTGAGGGGCAGTGCCCAAGCCCAGAGTTTAAGTCCCATGACGAAGAGACACTGCTCCAGCCCTGAAAGGCCCTAGTATAGGTCACCAGACAGACAGACAGACGACTTACCTTGGGAACTTTTTACTCCAACGTTATCCTCAAAACACAGTCAGTATCCCTAATAGCTAGAATGGATTATAGACTA